AGTGAATATATGGCCTTCAAACTTCCAACTCTCCTGTGGCTGGGAGTCTGGAAATGCACTGGTCAGGGCAGCCAAAGGGGGTGAGGGGTAGGAATCTGTGTTTGCAGATTTTTCCCCCTGAAGTCATAAAACAGAGAGGAGATTGGGGGCAAGATCAGATGGGCTGCATGTCGTCCCTTCTAGAATCTCTGCAGTTAAGAATTGCAGCATTTCCGCATCCTCTCTGGCTCTGATTTAGACATCTGAATCCTTCCCTCTTTCATATAGTTTCTGGAAGGATAGACATGTCCCCAAAATGAGGCGGAAGCAAACGGATGAGAACAAGGCTCTCTCCGAATTTCTGGATTCGGGTGATGAGGCGCAGTGACAGGTGTGGTGAGCGCAGTGCTCGCTATCTCTACTTCCCCTTCGCTCTCCTGTCAGCAAAGGGGGCTAAGAATAGCTGCCATGTTCCTGACACATCAGCAGGATCGGTGAGCCTGTGCTGGTGAAGCAGAGAGGTAGCGCCTGCGGGGACGGGCGGTGGGCACTGCAGAGAGCCAGTGAGAGGCTGTGAAAGGCACGGAAGGGGGCTGCTGGCCGTGGGTCCTGTGCTTGCATCGGCTGTCTCGGTGGTGACTGCAGAACGATGCGGTGCAAGACATCGGCCAAAGCCAGAGACCCTGAGGACGCGGGCCTGAGGTGATAGGGCAGAGCCCGGAAGCTGCTTTTCGGGGGTGACTCTGCTGCAGCCCTCTTTGAAGCTGGGGGTTAGGGGAGAGCCATTGCAGGGCCGGAGGTCACGTTGCTGGGCTCAGAAATGAGTCTCTGAACTTGCAGTGCCCTCAGCAAAGCCCTCCCCATCTAAGATCAGGAGCCACAATACCTGTGGGAAATCAAGAGAGACAGACATTCACACCCAACCGGGCACAGTCATGGTCCAAGGCAAACTTTACTGTTGACCAAGCAAACACCTCAGAGATAAGAGTCTGGTACCGGGCATAACCCTGAGTCTGAGAGAGGGAAAGATAAGATTTAGAACCAGTTTGATAACAAGTTAGGATCAGTCACGCGGTTGTTCCCATGGAATGGCTATTTTGTTCCGTGTATCCTTCACTCTCTATTGAAAGACTTTTTCTAAGCCATCCAAGGCATTTTTGCCTGGGATGGTGTCCCACTTACAGTGACTGCTTGATACGCATTTGCTGAAGTAAATTTACATGAATTCTGGGTGATACTCTGGAGGAGAGAAGGACAGAGGTGGAAATGGGGTGAGAAAGGAGTGTCTGAGGAGCCCCCAGACCTGATCCAGCCAATCTCATCATTTCCATGTGAAAGGCTGAGGACTGGGATTGGGGAGTGGGAGGAAGGTCTTGTCCAAGGTCGCAGGCCCATTAGAGGCCCCGATGCCCATGTGACTTGCATTCCCAGAAAGAAGGCTGTGGTAGGAATGTCGCTGCCGCTGGCCTGTGAAGGGCTTGGTATCTGCACCTCCGTTGCCTCTGTTATCTCCCTGGTGCTGCTGGGTGATAAATCTGAGAATGGGAATGGGAAACCGGGTCAAGGTTTGGGCAATGTGAGAACAGAGGCTGCCTTGGCCACAGCAGGCATCAGGGCAGTTGCCCATGAGCTCTCTGAGGGCAGAAGTGGGGTCCCGTTCATCTTTGAATGCTCAACACCTGGCATGACACCCCACTCACAGCAATCACCTACCACTATTGTTAAACTGAACAGGAAACGGTGGACACTCATCATAATAATATCTAGTACTTATTAAGGACTTGCCATGAGCCAGGCCCTAGGTCCAGCCCCATGAGGTTAAGTAACTTATCCAGGGTTAAGCAGCTAAATACGGGGTGAGGTTGGGATCTGACCCCTGGCCTGCTCCAGCACCTGCACTCCTGACCTCTACACAACACTGCCACCGCAGGGCTGCCCAGGCCCCGGGAGACCAGGGAAAGGATGTGGCTGTGGGTGGCAGATGCCTTGAGTCTCCATCCAGGTGAATGGAAGGTGGCTGGCTGTGGTCCGGGGTGGACAGACAGTCCATCACCTGCAGAACATGCAGAGGTCAGCTGCGCAGCCTCCCTTTCCGAGTGTCTCACTGACGACACCACAGGGTTTGGGTCTGACTTTTCTCCCAGGTTCCGCGGATCCTATCAGCACCTGCACTATGGCTACCTCCCCGATGCCCTGGTCGACCTCACGGGAGGGGTGGTCACCAGCATCGAGCTGCACTCCTCCCCTTCTGACCTAGTGACGATGGTAAAGACTGCTGCCAAGGCAGGCTCCCTGATGACCTGTGCCACGCCGGCCGGGGTGAGTAGACCAGGAATCCTTCGCATGGGTCCGGGCTCTCCTCACCTGGTGTGTTCAGCCACTGGCTCCTTCAGCTAGGCGGGAGCGGTCAAAGCCACCTACTGGAGCACAGTCGGTCATGCTGTACTTTACTGAGGTCACGTCCTTCAATTCTCAAGACAGCCCTCCCTCTGAGATAGGATTGCAGGATTCGCTGACAGAAGAGGAAATGGGCTCAGAGAGGCCAAGGAAAATGCTCCCCGTCACACAGCCAGCAGGTGGCCGAGCAGGGGTTCAGATGCTGCTTTCTGACCTCAAAGCCTTTGCCTATTACTTCCCCGTGACCAGAGGCAATGGTTCCAGAGTGAGCGGCCGGGGGGGGCCTTTGATTCTCAGTGTTTCTTTACAAAGGCAGCCTCCCAAAGGCAGCACGGCCCATTTTGAAAAGTCCGGACAAGCCTCCAAATTATTAGTCTGTTCTGAGATGGCCAGCTCCCTACTCACAAGGTGAGGATGCCTCCTTCACTCTTGAAACATGTGGACTTTGAGCCACACGTTCCTAATCTGAAACACCACCCCAAACTAAGATGCACCTCAAACCCCAATCACTTGCAGCGGGGTGGGGAAGCCCAGCAGATAGGTTTCCTGCCCAGCAGATGGGTTCCCTGCCGTCTCAGGGATGGTAAGTGACGGGGGCAGCAAGCAGCCCCCCCTCCCAGGTCCTCAGGCTCTATCAGTCATGCAGTGGGTGGTCTCTTGAGGTATGAAATGCCTGGAGCCTTAACTACCCAGCAGCCTTCAAACTCCACCTCTAGAGATGAGTCCCAGGAATGCACGCCCTCCGGCCAGAGTCCATAGGACACTTTCACCCAGGCCGGCTGTGGGCGGCGCGCAAGGCCCATGAATTGTGCTGTTCTCTCTCTCGGGAGAACCTGTGAAAGTCTAAGGCATGGTCTGCTTTTCTCCCGTGAAGCCGACAGGAGAAGCCACAAGAATGGAGAATGGCCTGGTGAGCCAGCATGCCTACACCGTGACTGGGGCCGAGCAGGTAAGGCTCCATGGGCTGGGCCCCATGGTCTTGCTCCTTGGAACAGGCGTCAGAACCACATGCCTCAGCAGGCCCAGCAAAGCTGCAGTGAGTGTTTATCTTCTTACCTGTGGTGGCGCCCATCACAGACAGCTCGGTCCTTCTATTCATCCAGAAGTTCTGGTGCCCAGTACCCTCACCCCCCAGGGCTCCTGCTCTCCTTGAGGGCTCTCGGGCAGGGTGAGGGGTGCTGGACTGGGGATTACCCCTAAAGAAAGCAGAATGAACTAGCCAGTTGACTCTAGGGGAAGTTTTGCCCTGAAGAGTTTTAGTTGTAACATACCAACTAAACTACTGGAACCGACGCTCCAAAATACAGGGCTCAAACAAGGTAAGGTTTGTTTTACTCTCAGATAAGCAGGCAGTCCGAGAGCTAGTAGGTGGCTCTGCCATCCACAGCATTGGACTTCCCCCTGTGAGCCCCGGGCAGCTGCCCCAGGCCCCCTCCTCATCTGGCCAGGGGAAGAGGAGGAGGCCAGGAGAAAGGGATGCATCCTTTTGGGAGGAACACATTGGGAAAGGCACACTCTCAGATTCCATTAATCTGAACGTGTGGCCACACTGAGGCACAGGGATTCTGGGAAACATATTGTCTAGCTGGACCGCCACATGCCCAGTTGGAACTTTATTCCCATGGAAGAGGGCAGGGTGGCCACAGAGGACAGTCTTTCCCTTGATATAGAACTGACTGTGTGCACAAAAACATATGTAATTACTGTGTGCAGCAGCATCCGGTCCAGAAAATACTACTAAAGTCCAGCTTCCTCCATTCATAAGTGAAGAAGTGGAGGCCTGTGAGGGGACAGTCTCTCACAAGGTCACACAGCTACTTGAAGTGACCGGGCCGACACCACAGCTCCTCGGTGCCCATCTACGTTTATCATGCAGCCATGTGGTGACAGCGCTTCCTGGCCTTGTGATGACTTCCCACAAAGGCTCCCCATCTCTGTACTTCCCACAAATCCTGAGGTGTAATACTGTCTTCCAGGCCCGACCAGATAGCATCCCAAACTCCAGGGAACATTTTTCACGGTCCTTTTTGGGCCAAGGAAAGCAGAGTGCCAGGGTCTATTTCTAGCATGCTTTCATCTGCTGGCCTTCCCTCTCTCTGTATCAACCTGTCTCTCCTGTCCATCGACCTAAGGCCACTTGCTCCATTGTTTCATGTTTTGGGGAGTGTTCCAACCCACAAAACAAGGACAAAATCTTATGTCTCCCTAAAGAAATCAGTAACAGCTACTTCCTCTGCACAGTACCTGGGAAATAGTAGGCACCTACATGCTAGTTGGATCAATGGATGGGTGCCCTTGTATGAGTGAGTGAATGCATTTGTCCTTGGCCTATGAAGGTGACATCATTGATCCTTCATCATAGATCATACGTGATGAGCTCACCACACATTTCCCACAAGCAAGGATACACCCAGGCCAGAAGAGATCCCCGTCCCAGTGGCCCCAGACTCCCTTCCTCTGAATTCTCCCAAGCCCTTCCCTGAATTCTCGGTAGGGACAGCCAATACCATCATCAAGCTTGGCTCTATGTCCAGGCACTGCTCCCCACACCTCCCCTGACCCAGGTATAGACAAGTTTGGGCTAGAGACAGCAAATTGGTTTTCTTATGAGTCAAACTTGATCATTGGCCATACTGCCTGGATGGCTGTATGGACAAGACTTTGGCACTGCTTCCAGATCTGGGGCAAGAGCTGTGATTGGTGATGGTATCTGTGCTGGGCATGGAATGAAAGAACCATGGTGCCTGCATGATGCGTCTGCCATTCCTGGACCCAGCCCTTGTTATTCACTGAGACAGTCTTTGTTTCTCCTCTGAACACAGGCGAGAAGGGACTTGAGTGTTGAGAGGTCCAGATGGCCATGGATGTGAGTCCCCACAGAGGCTGGGCATGGCGACGGCAGAGACCGTCAGGTTATAGAGCGGCATGTACACACCAAGGGCCGAGGGAAGGGAGGTGAACTCAGGACTCAGGCTGTGGGGTTTAGGCTCCAGATGATTCCTTTCACTATGTGAGTGTTTGCTCCCCCACAGCACACACGTTGAGTTGTTCCTGTAATACAATAAGTCGTCTAAACAGGGCATCCCCCCATAACCCCCGAAGGCAGGTGATGAAGACTTCATGTCCTGTAGGCACTGCCCTGCCCCTCTGTGGCTGCTGACACTCCCCAGCCTGTGCTGTAAGGAGCACCAGCCTGGTGAGATCCCCTGCTTGGAGATTCACGATGGACATTTTAAAGGCTCTGAGAAGGCCTGTATTAAACAGACAGGTACAGCTTAGAGTTAATCAACCTTGAAACCCTTTTCTAGGAATAAGCATTAACAGCCTATGGGTCTACCATTTGAGAGAATACATTTAAGGAAATACTATCCGAGGATAGAGAACCTAGATTAGCTCTTGTCTCGAATGGACTCCTGAGCCAACCGGCCACGGTCCATGTGATCCCCAGGAGGGCACTGACAGGAAGGGAGTAGCAGAGTCAGACAAGGGGCCAGGAACTTGCCTTAGTGAAAATCTCTCCTCCAGAAAGAGGAGGTTATAACTCTCTGCAAGTGTGAAGATTAAACCAGCCCATAAATGCCGTGTGCTTTTTAATCTGCTCATCCTCCCTCTGGGCGGGACACGGACAGGAAGATAAATGAAATTGGCATTTTTTATTATGTACCTAGCTTGGTCCATGACTCCCCTGGGCAAGGGGTGAGTGTTTATCTGCACGCCTCATTTAGCCTCTTTCAGCCCCCTCCAGTCGCTGGCCACTCTTCTCCCCTGGGCCCAGCTGAGCCCTTGACTGTCTGTTAGGCACTGAGGGTGGCTCATTGAGCTTTTTGGGCCACGGGGCGACCATTACTC